CACCTTACTGCCTTCACACTCCTGTCGCAGAGGACAGTACGACTTTACCCCCAGACCGCCTCGTACCACGATTACTCGTAGTGCGGGGTCTCGCTGCTCTCGGTCTGGCTGCTCCCCTTTGGCCTTCCTGGCATGGTTGTGCCTTGTGGAACGAAGTTCCAGCCAGTCTAGCCCGCGGGATCATTGCGGCACTCAAGCCCGACCACCACGTCAAGGTGGCAGCTTTAGGTCGGGCCCGTTTCCCTCAACAGCGTGCCACCCGCAAATAAAACAGATAACATCGCCATTAGTTTCCGCGTGTCTTGAGCATAATTTAGCCCGACGAATTATCAGACGTCAAGCAAAAATGAGCGTGCACCATAGTGAGTGGAGCAGAAAGCCAAGGACCGGCACAGAGTTGCACGACCGTTCAGCAAGGTACAGCACATGCCGACCAAGGAGCCTGGTGAACTCGGAAGGTTATTAAAACGGATGAGTCCCAGGAAGACGAGAATACCCGAAGATTATCCCAGTTGGTCCATGCGACCGGTGATCGGAAACCACCTGTGAGCGAAACCATCAAGGATCAGAGTGAAGCGATCATTTCGAATAAAAAAGAACGGTTCGACGGTTAGGCATCAGCAGCAGCAGAGACAATACTGACACTGAGGCTTCGCTTCCGTACAACCATAAAATTTGTCTAGTTATATTTAAAGCCTTAAAATGAAATGAAAAGAGTGAGTAAGAGAGGGGGCCTGTTGATGGTCTATTGCAAGCATTCTGAGGTACCACAAATCCAAGCGCTCAGCCAGACAACATGGAAAGGAAATGACAACACGAACGCCATAGACAGCGACCAGCCGCCATTTCTTATAACATCTCCACGAACAACACCCAACTTCTTCGTAATCTCCTTCACACCTTCTACCAAGTCATACGTTGTCCGCTTCGTGGTTTAACCCATTCAAAAGGAAGTTCGCCAACAAACCGGAGTCTGTAAAACTTTATAGACGAAGAGACTGGACCTTACCGTGGTGTGACGGTTTGCGCACCTCAGCGATCCATTGAGCTATACTGGAGAGTGTCCCGCGACACTCAGAGTCTCTCACACCAGGTTGGTCAATGGTTAAAAGTCCGACGAACACAGTCTCCTGGCCCTCCAGGTTGAGGGTTGGAACATGTGGCGACTTGTTCCGTAGAAATGGTAATGCATTTGCATTTCCCGCCAAACACCGCTGCCTTGCGGTTAGGCTTTTGAGACAAAGGCTTTGGTTGAGGACCCTAATTGTCCTCCTGTCTAGGTGTGGGCGCCCTGGCAGTATCCCAGCCCACGTACAACCATGAATAGCACATACACAAATAAACTCATGCCACATCGGCCGTCGCGTGGTGCCATCAGCCGGGTCGCCTTACTTGCTGCATACAGCAGGGTGGGTAGGTGAAAACCGGCTACTGCTGACGCCTCCCTACTTTCTCCAGCCGGGTCGCCTTGCTGCATACAGCAGGGCGGGTAAGCGAAAACAGGCTACTGCTGACGCCTCCCTTCTTTCTCCTTCACATACTTTTTCTTTCCCTCTCCCCATCCCATTAATAACTCTCTTCTTGTAGGTCCAGCATATAGGACTGATGACGCCGATCGTCTTGCATCGATTTCGCGTGCAACATCTGCTCGTCACACGGCGCTGACATCGTCAGGAATCTGCAAATCAATCATCAAGCCTC